GAGCATGACTGCGCGGCCCCGGCCACGCGGGTGACGCCTTGCCCGCTGCGCTCGGCGCCCCCTGCCGGCCCGGAGGTCCCCGCGCCCGTGAGGCCGTTCGTAGCTACCTCGGTCTAGCTCCAGGACCCGCGTCTGACGCTCACCTTTGCGTCCCGTTCAAATACGCAGAAGGGAGGCGGTTTGAACTCTGCGTTTAGGGCCTCGCGGATGTGACAAGACTGAGCGCGGGTGGAGGCGCAACGCTCTGCACCTCGTGAACGTCCCGCAGCCGCACCGCTCCCCTGCGGTCAAAGCCAAGTGCAGCTTGGCGGGCACAGGGCCCAGTGTGTGGACAGGTGGTGACGACCTAGCCTGGGTGGGACCGGCTGCGGGGGAGCGTCCTGGGAGGGGGGCCTGCTCCCGCTCTGGTGTGCACTGCTAGCCCAGCATGACGGGCCCCACCTGTAACCACCGTGGGTGAGGCACACCGAGGCACACCCCCTAGGGTGCAGCTTGGGCACACTCCTTGCCTAGCACAGCAGATGCTGGGTTCCATCCTCAACACCAGAGAAAATCTGACACTTCTAGTTTTACAGCCACCTCAAGGACCAAACTGAGCCCAGCATTCCCTGCAGATGGCCAGACCACTCCCCCACCACACCCAGAGCCCTGGCACCCAGGTTCAGGCCCAGCATCCTGGGCCTGTGGGATCCTGCCAGCTCCACAGCCAAGCCTTCAACTCCCGGTTCCAGACAGACCCCGGCCTGGGAGCCAGGGTCAAGTGACTTATGCTTGGCCGTGACAAAAACACACGCAGGGTGAGGACCTCCGCCTTTTACAGAATCTAGAACTGGGACCCCAGGCGTGAGAGTGGAGGGCTGAGAAAGGCCCCAAGGAAGATGCTGTCCTGTAGCCTCCCCCTGGACAAAGAGCCACACGGACACCAGCTGCTGCTCTAGTCAAGTGAGGGAAACTTTATTCAGGCCCCAAGGCATGGGCTCGGGCAGGTGGTGCCCTTCCGCAGGAGCGGCTGGTGGAGGTTTACTTGACCTTCTTCTTGGGGCGCAGGTTGTTGGTGTGGCCGCACTTCTTCTTGCGGCAGTTGACAGCACGGGGGTGCAGGCGGGCATAGCACCTAGCAGGGACAGGAGTGGTGGGTAAGGACAGTTGCCCCCTCCTGCCCCTGGTCCCCCCCATACCCCCACATACTTGCGGCAGATCATCTTGTCACAGTTGTACTTCTGGGCAAGCTGGCGCAGGGACGGCTCGATGATCCCACCTCGAAGGCGAAGCACCAGGTGCAGGGTGGACTCTGCAGGGATGAGCAGGGGGTGTCGCCTCAGGGCCGGGCCACAGTCCCAGGGCACACCCCCAGCATGACTGAGCTCCGAGACGATACTCATGTTGGGCACACAGGGCCAGCCCAGGACTGTCACAACTGGCAAGAACTGATTCTCGAGTTTCCCTTAGCTACATTTTCACATGGTTTTCTTCCCTGGAGCTGGGAATGGAACTGACCCCCACTGAGCTACACCCACAAAGCCATCACCTTTCTAAACAGAGCACAATGCCATGGGTTCATGTCAGTCATTTAAAAACAAAACAAAGAAGAGCCAAGCGTGGTGGCCCATGCCTGTAATCCCAGCACTCAGGAGGCTGAGGCAGGAGGATTATTGTGAGTTCAAGACCAGCCTGGGCTACAAAGTGAGCTCAAGGCCAGTCTGAACTGCATAGGGACAGCGTTTCAAAAAGACAAAAATAAATGAAGAAAACAAAGAGTAACCAGTGCCATCTTGGGAACAGATATCCGATGTCTTTAAGTGACAGAACAGTACCTGACAATGCAGAATACCCTGCCCTACCCAATCTTCATCCTTTCTGTTTTGGGGTGCCAGGGAGGGAACCTAGAGCCCACACCCCAGCCTGATCCTCATCATAGGAATGACCTCCCTGGTGGCCCCAAGGTGCCCATTAGAACGCCCTCCTGGTCTGGGGTGCAAGGGCCATGTGGACACCCTAGATAGGTACCTTTCTGGATGTTGTAGTCAGAGAGAGTCCGGCCGTCCTCCAGCTGTTTGCCGGCAAATATCAGACGCTGCTGGTCAGGTGGGATGCCTGCAGTGGGGACAGACGAAAGAGCTTGGCTCCTCCGCTCCCTGCTGCAGGGGCTGCCCAGCGCCTCCACTCTCTCCAAAGCAGACAGCAGATTTCTGGCCCTCCACCCAGAACACACTGGCAAGGGAGCGCTCTAAAGCCAGCCCACCCACGGCAGGGGCTCCCCTGGGCTGAGAGCAGCAAATGGTGGTGGGGACAGAGCCTCGACCTAACCCAACTCACCCTCCTTGTCCTGGATTTTGGCTTTGACATTCTCGATGGTGTCACTGGGCTCGACCTCGAGGGTGATGGTCTTGCCCGTCAGGGTCTTCACGAAGATCTGCATCTCTGCGTCTGCTGGCAGGGTTGGAGCCGTGAGCGTGGCAGGCCTGCCGGGCATCAGCTCTGAGGCTGCTGGCCCGAGGGCCCACGCCAGCCTCCTGTGCCGTGCCATCACCACCTCAGGCAGCTCCGAGACTGTCCCTTCCTTCTACCCTCACACTCCCGTGTGCAACCTAAGCCCGCGCCTCCTCGGCCCCACTGCTGGACACTGTCACGTGGGGCTTACAAGCAGTGGATAGGGAAGCCTGGGCCTGTGAGCAAATGGCTCTGACCTTGGAAGACACCCAATCCCGGTGTAGGTGGGGGCTGAGACAGAAGGATTCCAGTCTCAGGTCTGAGGTCATCAAGGCAACTTAGCAAAACCCTGTCTCAAAATCTAAAGATAAGGGGCCGCGGTATCTCTCAGTGACAGAGCCCTTGGAATTAAATTCCCGGTATGGCGTGAGTCTCTGACGCAAGGAGAGCACCGCGTCGGACACATCGTCCGGGACCCCAGCCGCACAGCCTCAGCAAGGTCCTGCCTAGCCGACCACCTGCCCGTAGGACCCGGCTGCGGGGAGAACCGCCTCCTGCCAGACGCCCGCTCCGTGCCCAAGTCCGCGCTGGACACCCAGCGTTCTTTCTCCCCCGTACTCAGCGCCAGCCCCAGCCCTCACCCCTCGCCCTTCCCGAAACCCGCGGGCACGCGGCGAGGACCCGGGACGCAGGCTCGCAAGGCGCTCGCCCCGCAGGCGGGAGACCGCGGTTCCGCACCCGGCGCGATCCCAAGCAGCTGAATGCAGAAACGACGGCCTCCACTTGCCACCCGCCCCCCACGTGCCGGGCACTTGTTTACACACAAAATCCTGTACGCAGAGAAATTAAAAATGAAGGGAAAGCCGACCGCCCGGCCGCACCTCGGAGGCTGGGGCGGGAGGACCGGGAGTTCAACGCCAGCCTGAGCCACGCCCAATTGTCGACACACGCGAAAAAAAGAGCGCGAAAAACCCCCAACTTCAGGAGCGAGGCCCGGATCGCCGCGGGAGGCCCACTGCGGCCGAGGCCTCACGGGCTCGCGCGGGCCTCGGAACGGGCGGGCCCCCCGGCCGGCTCCGAGTCGCCGCCACCCGCCGAGACCCGCCTTCCGAGCGGGCTCAGGGCCGCGCTCTCCGCGTCCCGGGGCCTCAAACCTCCAGCAGCCCCCAGCCCGGCGCGAAACCGCCCGACCACAGCCACCTACCCGCTCGGCCGCCTCGTTGAAGAGAAAGAGGGCGACGGAACCGGAAACCGCCAGTTCACCACCGAGAGCGCCTGCGCACGGAGCACGCCCGCGCTGCGTCACAATCCGCGCCGCGCCACGGGGCCCGCTCCAGGCCCCGCCCCCAACGCCGTCATGTCGGATGCTGGCAAAGGAAGCCGCCCGGCGTGTGGGCGAGCACGCAAAGCCGCTTCCGGGCCCAGGCACCGCCCTCCGGGCCACGTGACAAGGCCGCGCCCCTCAGGTGTTTAGAGCTGCGGTCTCCCTGTCGGCTGCTTCCGTGTAGCCAACATGTCAGTGTAGCCGACTTTTCGAGACTACTTGAACAGAGTAGGGAATGTTTTGTTTTAAGCAGAGGCATGGTGCAGAGGGTCGAGACGCAGGGTCGGGTGGGGATGGTGAGGGGCTCGGGATGCCAGAGACCCCTGGCACCGCGGCTGCAGTGGCCCATGAGCCTGGCAGCATATCTCATTCAGCATTCCCCAGCGCTGCTCTGTACCAGGCAAAGGCATGTGCTCCTTCCAGTCCGGGAAGATGCCTTCAGGTTTTTTTTTTTGTTTTGTTTTGAGACAGGGTCTTGTATGTAGTCCAGGCTGGCAACGAACTTAAGAGATCCTCTTGCCTCAACCCTCTTGACTTCGGGATTACAGGCGTCCACCAGCATGCTCAGTGCTGCGTTTTGTTTTGAACAAGGTCTCACTATTACCGAGTCCCGTCTCAAACTCCTGGGCTTAAGTGATTTTTTTTTTTTTTTTTTTTTAAGTGATCCTTCTTTATCGGCCTCCCTAGGACAGTGGTGAGCCGAGGTGGGGCTACAGACATGTGCCACCCCGCTGGCCAGACGCCTTTGACAACGTCATTTCTTTTTGGAGGGGAGTACTAGGAATTGAACTCAGGACCTCATACTTGCCAGGCAGGCACCCTGCCACTGAGCTAAATCCCAAGCCCCAACCATGTAATTTCCGAGAGCTCTGGGGTATTGAGTGGCACCCAGCCGGAATCCCTGACTGTTCACCCGAAGGCCGAGGTCTGAGGGAACGGAAGGTGGGAGGACTCAGGAGGGTGTGAGGGCTGCGGTGTCAGCCAAGGACCCACCAAGAGCAGCCCCAGCTTGCCCGCACCTCACCCAGGGCGCAGCCACGCCGCCGCCGCCCTTTGCTAGACCCAGGTGGAAGGAAGCCGAGCCGACAGACGTCCCTTCTCAGTAACAGTCTTTTACTCATAACTTTCCAGCAGCATCTGTAAACATCAGGTACAAAAATATGCCATGAAACTGTTTTCCTCGGTGGCAGGGGTGACACCTGCCGGGCTGCAGGGCCCTCACTTCCAGGCAGGGAGACCCAGGCCTGGCCAGATCGCCCAGGGCCGAGTGGCAGGCTGTGTCTCCAGCCTGTGCCCAGCTCAGACCCCCCAAGCCAGCAGCTGGACGGAGGGTTCCGAGCTGTCCGAGGAGGAGGAGGGAAACCAGAACTAGCGGCGGGGCACGGGGTGGCCGGGGCGAACTCAGGGTGATGCTGCCTGTCCACTTCCAGGGTGTCCTGGTCAGGACGGGGACATCTAGCTCTGGTCTCTGGGGACGTTTTAGGTACCGTTCAGAGAACACCCAGGACCACACCCCGGGGCGCAGGGAGCGCGGGATGGGCTACTCGCCCGGTGTCTCCTCCGGGTCCATGGGGCTGTGGCCGTTGACAGTGGGGGAGCCAGGCCGGATATGGGACAGGTCCTCGAAGCCGGGGCTGAGGGAGGGCGAGACGGTGTCTGGGCTGGTGTCGCACGAGCCTGTGCTCTGCTCAGAGGTGGCGATGGTGGTGGTGACGCTGGGCGGGATGGGGTCTTCGTCTTCATCCTCCAGGAACAAGGCCTCGGGGACGTCTGGGCAAGGGACCAGCAGGTTGGGTCAGGGCCTTGCTCAGATGCAGGTGACCCCGGCAGACTCCCCCAACTCCACAGGGACATGGCCTGGCCCACTGTACTGAGGAGGAAACTGAGGCGTGGGTAGGACACGGGCTCTGAGGTCAGGCCGCGTGACCTTAGCTGTGTCACCTTCCCCAGGCTCCCTGCTCAGGCTGTCACCCGCCCTGGGACAGAGAACCTTGGCCACTTAGCACAAGTGGTAAACCCAGGCTCAGCGCGGGGGGACCGGCTGGGGCGGCAGTGCTGGGCGAGCAGACAGCTGAGTTGGTCCCTCCCGCTCCGGGTCCCTTTCTGGCTTCCTCTCTGGGCGTCAGAGTGCCCGTGTGAACGCAGCCCCTGGCGCACAGCTGACAGTGGGTGACAGCCCCGCCCTGAAGGGTCCCGAGGTGCACGCTGGGGCGGAGTCGTCGGCGTCCCTGGCCACATCCCTGGCCTCCCGGGGCAGGCACCCCGCTCCCAGCAGCTCTGGCCCCCAGGACCGGGGCTCAGCACCAGCCCACAGGAACCCCCAGGGGTCCGGCTCTGGGCAGGGGGCATAGCGGCCCTGTGACACTTACGGCTGAAGGCCTCTGGGTGCTGCCTGGCCAGCTTCCCTTTCAGCGTCCTGTGGGGACAGAGGGTGTCCTACTGGGCCCGCGGCTGGGCTCGGCCGGGCAGGCAGTGGGGCAGCCCCGCCACTCACGACCCTGCCTCTCTCTGTCCCGTCTGTGTGCAGGCCCAGCGCTCAGCCTGGCGGCCAGGCCTTGGTAGCCCCAGCACCTCTGGGCCCGAGCGGGCACCAGGCTCCTTGCTGTCACAGGGGCCAGCGTGGGGCCGGGGCACTGGGCAGCCCTCTCCCTACAGTGCCCTTGTGCAACCGCCTCCTCTACCCTTGGGCACCTGTTTTTTTGTCCCCCCCATCCTGGGCAGGGCCTGGGGCTGTGCACTGAGCTGCGTCCCCAGCCCCCTTTTAGTTTCTACTTTGAGACGCGTTTCCCTAAGCCCCCGGCTGGACTCCAACTCTCGGCCCTCCTGCCTCAGCTTCCTGAGTGCTGGGATCACAGGTTCCCCCCCACACCAGGCTTGCTCTGCTCCTGACAGAAGACTTTTGGGGGAAAAAGGGATGGGAGCGAGAGGATCAGTGTGCACTTCTCCCTTTCTGCTATGACCTCAGTGCAGTGGTACTCGTGAAAGATGAACACGCGCACCTGATCCTGCGGAAGACGCTGTCCAGGTCCCGCTTCATCTCCACCAGCGTGCGCGTGTGGTGCACGAAGCGCTCGCTCATCTGCTGTAGACGGGCGCTGGACAGGTTGTTGAAGTTCAGCAGCATCTCGTTGGTCTTCTCGAAGCGGTCCAGCCTGAGGCCGAGAAGGGGTGAGCGGCCCTGCCCAGCCTCCAGGGTGCTGTCCCCTAACCCTGCTGAGCCCTGGCTTCGGTCACAGCCTTCCCAGGGGCTGCTCCCTTCGTGTGTGCATGTTCACAACAGCTAGGAAACTCCTATTCAAACCTTAAAACCCTACTAAAAAAAAAAAAAAAATGCTACTAGAAACCAGGCATGGTGCCACATGGCTGTAGTCCCAGCACTCCGGAAAGCTAATACAAGAACATGAGTTCAAGCCTTGTGTGGGCGATTAAGCAACTTCTATCTCAAAAACAGCTGGGCTGTACCTCAAAGCAAGGACCGGGTTCAATTCCCAGTCCTGCCGGGGAAGGAAGTGTATCCTTTGTTATGGTTTGGAGCTTCTGTTTTTGAGACAGGGTCTCACTCGTAGCCCAGGCTTGCCTTAACCTCGCAGCGATCCTCCTTCCTCGGCCTCCCGATGCGATGCTGGGAGGACAGGCGGATGCCAACATTCCTGGCTACCCTTTCCTACTTTGAATTGTTCTCTCAGGTACTTTGTCACAGTCACAGAAAACCAGCCAACGCCCCGTCATGGACACGTCTCCCTGCCTCCCCACTCTGCATCCCTAGAGGTGCCCAGCCCCACGCTGCTCCTCCGGTGAGACCCTGATGCCACATGGCAAGGTGGGCTGGGTCTTCTCCTGTCCCCCTCAGTCTGGGAGGTCCCCAGAGCCAGGTCTAAATCTGCCCTAAAGAACTAAGAGCAGGGCTGGGGCGCGGCTCAGCACTGAGCAGCCGTGTGGTGTGCCCGCTGCTGGGTTCCATCGTGGCACCCTAAACAGATGAAATTAAAGAAGGGGTAGGAAGACGCAGCGGCACCCGGAAAATTGTCGAGGCTTGGGCTGCATCTGTCCCAGCCCTTCCAGAAGCCCCTGGGGTACCCTATAGACGCAGCCGGGCTCTAAGCTGCCAGCCGCCAGCCAAAAGTGGAGCAGCTCACCCACGGCAGGCGCCCAGGCCCCAGGTTCCGGCCTGCGCTGGGGCCTGTGTGGCCACTCACATGTTCTTCTGGGCCAGGATGATGGCGTTCACGTCATCCGCATTCACCATGCTCAGGATTCGGCTGCAGAAGACCCTCGAGGCCGAGTCCGGGGCGTCCATCTCTTTCTCCTCCTCTGCTGTCTGAAACAGGTGGCGACAGAGTCTGGTCAGCACCAGGCAGCAGGCGGAGCTAGCGATGGAAGCAGTGAGGCCCCGACAGTGAGGAAGAGCGAGGGCTCGGGCGCCGCACCCGGGCCTCAGCGTGGTCACCCCCAGGCGCAGGCGCAGGGGCGGCCGCAAGGGCTCACTTGGAAACCCGCCTCGCCCTGTCTCCGGGCCTCCTGCTATCCAGTGCCCAAGGTCACTGGCATCCCTCACGGCTTCACCTAATCCCCAACCCCTCCACTGTTTCTTTTTTTTTTTTTCCTCCACTGTTTCTTTTGGTTTTTTTTTGTTTTGTTTGTTTTTTCTGGTACCAGGAATCGAACTCACGACCTTGCGTTTGCCAGGCAGGCGCTGTGCCACTGAGCTAAATCCCCGGCCTCCTCTCCACTGTTTCATTTCCCAAGAGATCTTTTTTCGTTCTGAGACAGGGTCTTGCTAAATTGCCCAGGCTGGACTCCAACTCTCGGTCTTCCTGCCTCAGCCTCGCAAGGAGCCGGGATCACAGCGCCCCCCACCCTCGCACTCCCCTGGCTCCAAGAAAGAGGTCGTCAGGACAAGCCCTTTCAGACCTCCCTTCCGCCTCTCCGCCGTTCTCCTGCCTTCCTGACTCAGTGGGCAGCTGATCCTTTGTGGCAGTGGCAGCTAGGGCAGTTCTCAGACTGCAGAGCAGAGGTGGGCGCCCTGCAGAGCCTGGCCGGAACCTGGTGAGGGACCCCAGGGCTTGGTTCCGGGCATGCAGACAGCTCTTTGCCCCCAGCTCTGACGCCAGACTTTTATGAGCAAATGAAAACCAAGAACGCAGCCACTTGAGGAAGGCCGCGGCCCAGGAACCGGACAGCGCTGCTGTTCCTGCATCCAGATGGCGCCCAGCGGGCAGAGCCTCCACCTGGGGCACAACAGGGAAATCTAGAAACTGGATATATCTTGGTTTCGCCCTGCAGCCTACACATTTAGTGATCTACAGAAAAGCCTACTTGTGATTGCTTTCGAGTCACACCCTAGGGCCGGTATGGTGGTGCAGGCCTGTCATCCCAGCATTCAGGAGGCTGAGGCAGGAGGATCACCATGAGTTTGAGGTCAGCTTGGGCTACATAATAAGGTGCTGTCTTTCAAAAAACAAAACACACACACACACACAAAACGCAGAAGGACAAGGAAAGGCCATTGCTTATTTCCTCTACGTCCTCATTTCCCCACTCATTGAGCACCTGCCGTACCCTGGACCAGGTTCAAAGCTCACACTGGGAACTGTCACCATTAGATGAGAAAATGAGGTTCAGAGAAACCTAGGGTGCCAGCCACAGCCAGATGTGAGTGTGCACAGGTGCTCGCTGTCCGCCTGGGGGACAGCTGTGTGTCATACTAGTTGTGTTTCACACTCTGGCCTGAGTGCCAGCTTATTTTTATTTTTTTATTTATTTTTTTTTTTTTTTTGGTTTTTCTCCGGTACTGGGAACCGAACTCACGACCTTGCGCTTGCCAGGCAGGCGCTTTTTGCCGCTCAGCTAAATCC